AGATATTTCTAATCAACCTGTGTTATTACACACCTCTGGAGGAGGAAGGACTTGTATCTAGGCCTCCTGGCTCAGAGATAAGGACACTACTACCACATCACAAAAGCACTACCTCATACATTTCAGTAAGCTTTCAAAAAATGTATTGACTGCTGAAGCTCTGAATAAAGAGGTAAGGAGTAGCACGATACAGAAATGCTTTTTATTTGTATTTCCTGCATTGATGATTAAATATTGGTGCCACGTTCTGTGGCATTTTAGAATAGAAGCAATTATCTTTAAAAACATCTTTAACACTATCTTTACTCAACATCTTAAGCTATTTCCTTTAATTTCTATTTCACCCTGGCTAGGATTTGACCTCCAGTTGCTGGAGATTTTCCATGTTAAATGTACTGTGCATATGTTACTTTCTGAAGAAAATAAGTTATATTTTAATCGGTTTAATGTATATTTAATTTGAATTGCATGGCTTGAACAGGTAGGGCCTTCAATTGCTTACATTAAGAAATGGAAGTAAACCATTGAATGTTGCAAGTGTGCAGCATGCCCATCAACACTTCACAGAGAAAGTAAGGTTACCAGTGGGACCACAAACCATCATCAAGGTCACTCGAAAATTCAGCCTTTCCTTTCGGCTCAGATGCTGATCGACAAACTGTGCATTTCCACATGAAGTGGACCGTAAGACCATGAGACCAGAATTAGGCCATTTGGCCCATTGAATCTGCTCTGCCAATCAATCATGGCTGATATGTTTCTCAATGCTATTCTCCTGTCTTCTCCCTGTTACCTTTGGTCCCCTTACCAATTAAGAATCTATCTATCTCTGTCTTAAATGCAAACAATGACATGACCTCCACAGTCCCCTGCGGCATTGAGTTCCACAGATGGAGTTGTCTCTGGCTGAAGAAATTCCTCCTCATCTCAGGCGTAAAGAATCATCCCTTCACTCTGAGGCTGTGCCTTAGTACTAGTCTGTTCTACTAGTGAAAGCATCTTCTCCATGTTCATTCCCCTCAGGTCTCTCAATATTCTGTAAGTATCAATGAGATCCCTCCTTATCCTAAAAAACTCCGTTGAGTACAGACCCAGAGTTCTCAACTGCTCCTCATATGACTAGCCCTTCATCCCTGGGATCATTCTTGTAAACTTCCTTTGGACCCCCTCCAACACCAGCACATCCTTCCGTAGATATGGGGCCCAAAACCGCTCACAATATTCCAAATGCTGTCTGACCAGAGCCCTATACAGCCTCAGCAATACATCTCTGCTCTTGTATTCTAGCCCTCTCAAAATGAATGCTAACGTTGCCTTTGTCTTCCTAACTGCCAAATGACATGCATGTTAACCTTGAGAATATCCTGAACTGGGACTCCCAAGTCCCTTTGTGCTTCCAATTTCCAAAGTCTTTCCCCATTTAGAAAATAGTCTATGTCTCTATTCTTCCTACCAAAGTTGAGCCTGAACACCCCTAGGGCACAGATCCTGGTGCTTTGGACCTTGTGCATTCCCCTCATACAGGGTCTGGATATATTGTACCTTGGTGAATATCCAGAACACTAAGGAATTCAAGTGTATTCCAGAGAACAATAATATACCATTGATTTTATCCCAAAGAAGTAGTGAAAAATTTTCAAGATTCATGCAATGTACAAGGAAACCTTGTGGGGAGAATAAGGTAGAACTGAATTTACAGCATATGTTTTTAAAAGCTTTTTAAAAATTCTTTCACAGGATGTAGGTTTCATTGGCTCGGCCAGTATTTATTGCCCATTCCTAATCATCCATGAGTACATGGTGATGGGCTGTTTTATCGAACCTTATCCCAGTCCACTGGTGCAGGGACACCCATTGTTGCTGTTACAATGGGAGTTCTAGTATTTTGACCCAGCCAACAGTGAAGGAACAGCAACATTGTTCCAAGACAGGATGGTGTGAGTCTTGGTGGGGTGAGGTCCTTGTATCTGCTGCCCTTGTCATTCTAGATGGTAGAAGCCATGGGTTTTGAGAGTGCTGTTGAGGAAGTCTTGGTCAATTGCTGCAGTGCATCTTGTAGATGGTACACGCAGCTGCCACTGTGTGTCAAGAGTGAGGGACATAATGTTTGAATGAAGTAGCAATCAAATGGGCTGCTTTCTCCTGATTGGTATTGAGATAAGATTATCTAAGGTTACAGTTGGGCCAATGGGCTGAGGAGAGGCAGATGGAGTTTAATTTGATAATTGTGAGGTATTGCATTTTGATAAAATTTACTATCTTTGTGCCACCTGCAAACTTAACAACAGTGCTCCTAATTCCTTTGTTCAGAACGTTAATATATAACATGAGTAGCCGTGGTCCCAACACTGACCCCTGCTGAATTCCACTAGTTACTTGTTGCCATCCTGAAAAAGACTCCTTTATCGTGACAATCTGCCAGTCAGACAGTAAAGTTTAGTTTTGCTTAAAAATACAGTAGGGCAGGACTTATACAGTTAATGATAGACCCCTGGGTAGTGTTGTCGAACAGAGAGACATCTAGGGGTTCAGGTACATAGTTCTTTGAAAGTTGCATTGCAGGTAGACAGGATGGTTAAGAAGGCATTCAACATGCTTGCCTTCATTGTTCAGACTATTGAGTATAGGAGTTGGGACATCATGTCAAGGTTGTACAGGACGTTAGTGAGGCCATTTTTGGAATACTGTGTACAGTTCTGGTCACCCTGCTGTAGGAAGGATCTTATTAAATTGGAGAGGGTTCAGAAAACATTTACCAGAATGTCGCCAGGACTGGAGAGTTTGAGTTGTAAGGAGAGGCTGAATAGGCTGGGACCTTTTTCACTGGAGCGTAGGCGGTTGAGGGGTGACCTTATTGAGATTTAAAAATTATGACGGGCATAGATAAAATGATTAGCAAAGGTCTTTTCCCCAGGTTGGGGAAGTTCAAAACTGGGGGGCATTTTTAAGATGAGAGGAGGAAAATTTAAAAGAGACCTGAATGGCCACTTTTCACACAGAGTGTGGTTGGTATGTGGAATGGGCTGCCAGCGGAAGTGGTAGAAACAGGTACATTTTAAAAACAGGTACATGAATAGGTAACGTTTAGAGGGGTATAAACCAAATACAGGCAAGTTGGCCTAGTTTAGTCTGGGAAACTTGGTCAGCATGGACAAGTTGGACCGAAGGGTCTGTTTCCATGCTATATGACTCTATGACTTTATTCTTCAGAATTACTGAAGCAAGTCATCTGCAGGCAAGTGGAGTGTATAGTGTTCAATTTGTGATACTTGCTTCAGTTAATTTCTCTTTCTCCACACAGTAAAGGTTGTTTTTGCTTAAAAATCGTGAAATCTTGTGCTGCACGTTAATTGGGTGGGCATTTGGGTTTTTTCTTTCAATGATAACAGTCCCTAACAGGATCTTAACACCATCTCGAGTAGTGAAATTGACATGGCACTATCTATTTTGTATTGGTTTCTCTCTTCATTCCATATCAACATTTTAGCAAATGGATTTGGATCTGTTAAGAATTTTAAATTGCGAGTACAGGATAGGTTAGCTGCTAACTGATCTATTTGCATATCTTTGCAGATCTCTGGGGAACATCCTTGTCCACCAATGAGCAACCAATCTGTTACTCCTGCCCTTGGTATCTTACTTCTCAAATCATTCCTGAATGACAGAAATCTTTTAAAACTGAGTGGCACAACAGTAGGTTGAGAATTTTGGTTTGAATGTCAATTTTCTGACATTACACCACACTCCACTTTGCCGATTATCTTTAAAGCCAAACTACAGTAGATTATATATCATCACCAGATAATTCCTCTTAATCTTTACACTATATCATAACCATGAATAATGGCATATAATTTCTATCCCAAATAAATGGTAATCATAAACAAATTGTGCTTTGTGGCCTATTAGGCTGTTTGTGTTGAGTATAAATGATATGAATCTAAGCAGCAGCTCACTGTCCCTTATAATTTATCTTCTGTGGTCAGTAGACTATTCAAGATGAAGGGTCTTTCTGGGCCTCCGAGAATTATGAATTTTAATGGATTGCCAATGGCTAGAAGTGGCCCCAGCTCTGAAGTGTCCTGTTTTTCACCGCCAGTAGTGGGATCCCTGACCACACAACCAAATCCAGACCAATCCATTTTTTTCACTGGAGAGTAGGTGGTTGAGGGGTGACCTTATTGAATATAGAACATAGAACAGTACAGCACAGTACAGGCCCTTCGGCCTACGATGTTGTGCCGAACTTTTATCCTAAACCTAAGGTCTATCTAACCTCCACCTCTACCTTATACTATCATCCATACGCCTATCTAACAGCCGCTTAAATGCCCCTAATGAGGCTGACTCCACTACCCTCTCTGGCAATGCATTCCATGCCCCGACCACTCTCTGAGTAAAGAACCTAAGAACCTTGAGGTTGAAAAATTATGACGGGGATGGATGAGATGAATAGCAAAGGTCTTTTCCCCAGGGTGGGGAAGTTCAAAACTGGAGGGGCATATTTTTAAGCTGACCATGATGGTTAAATGTCAACAAAAAAGCAGCTTCAAAAACAAAGTTGGTGGAAAAGCTCAGCAGGTCTGGCAGCATGTGTGAAGGCGAAAACAGAGTTAACGTTTCAGGTCAGGTGACCCTTCCTCAGAACGGACCCCAAACGTTAACTCTGTTTTCTCCTTCACAGATGCTGCCAGACCTGCTGAGCTTTTCCACCAACTTTGTTTTTGTTCCTGATTTACAGCACCCGCAGTTCTTTTGGTTTTTTTTTTAAAAAAAGCAGCTTGTTGTTTCTATACTATTTCTAACATGCACTTCAAAATACGCCATTGCCTATGAAATGTTTGATAATGCCCTGAGGTTGCGGAAGGTGCTACACAGATGCAAGTTCGGATCTGCTTCCTCACAAGTCAATGATGAAGTCTTCACGAATGTAAGAAAACGTAAGCTGAATATTTTTGAAAGTTTCACCGGTACTTTCAAATTCTCTCTTGTTATGGCAGAGGAAGCCCCGTATTCCACAAAATCCTCCACCAGTCTCGCCCACCTTAAGCACTCCAGAGCCAGACACCAGCACCGTCCCCCAGGATGCAGCGACTGTTCCCAGCTCAGCGATTTCGCAAGCATTGACAGGTAGGAGGGACAACAAACGACTAACGATGGGTTGCCAGGGGCAGTTTAACGAAAGGTATCAATTTCGGATGAAATTACGATTAATGCACAGCCAACATGGCAATCAAAATTCAGGATTTAATCTAAAACAAAGCACTGCGTGATGTTGGAGATCTGAAACAAACATAGAAATTGCTGGAGAAACTCAGCATCGGTGGAGAGAAAGCAGATTTAATGTTTCGAGTCCGGTGACTCTTCATCAGAACTCTGAGTTTATCTGAGCGATTTCTGTTTTTATTTCAAGATTTAATCCATGACAGCACAAAATAGATCTGTTAGAACAACTGATACGGTCAATTTGTTAAACTAGTTACCCATGACTTTGTGAGAAGAATTTGGATGAGTTTTATGGACCTGATCAGTTTACTAATTCATTCAATTTTGGTTGTTTAAATAAAAGTTCGACTCTTTGCTTTGAGAATTGGTAGAATAATCACTCGGTAGTTGAGCTGTGTCTGTCGTGACGTAGAGTTCTGAATTCATGCTTTTAAACAATATGTCTTGAGACCTGGGTGATGCTAGCAAGGTATTATGTATTGCCCATCCTTGGGAGCTTTAAGAGTAGTGGTTTGACACAATCAAGTGGTATGCTAGACTATTTCTGAGGGCAGTGGGCTTGGAGTAACAGGTGGGCCAGACTGGGTACGGGTAGCAGGTGTCCACCTGAAAAGACAGCAGAGAACCAAGTGGGGTTTTCAAACAACAATTACCAAAAGTCCCACGTCATCATTCCTGATTCAAGCTTTTCTTTCATTAGAGATTTTTTCATTCATTCAATTTAAATTCTACCAGCTGCCAAAATGTAGCACTGCAGTAATTCACCAATGCTACTTCAAAAGTACCTTGCAAGCTCAGGACTGAGACCAAGCAGTCTGCCCAGCAACTGTAAAATATCCACAAAAGAGGCCAAATTGGGTAGGCAATGGACAAGGCATAACTGCTATGACATTTAATTAGGTGCCCAACTGCCAAACCATCCCTGAGGGGAATGGGACTGAACAGTTTACATTTTCATCCCCTTGTCCATATACAACAAGTTCAAGATAATATTCAGGCTTGGGCTGTTGAGTGGCAAGTAATATTCACATGCAATTACCATCTTGAGTAACAGAATTGTAACCCTTTTCACTCGACATTCAATGGCATCACCATCATTCAAACCTACACTGTTAGCATTTTGGGGGCTACCCTTGACCAGAAACTGAGCTGCACCAGCCATTTAAATATTGCAGCTACAAAAGCAGGTCAGAGGCTAGGAATCCTGCAGCAAGTAAATCCTACAACTCCTGACTCCTCAAAGCCTGTTCACCATTTACAAGGCACAAGTCAGGAATGTGATGAAATACTCCCCACTTGCCTGGATGAATGCAGCTTCAACAATACCCAAAAACTTGACTCCATCCGGGTTAACGTAACCCCTTGACTGACACCACATTCACTAGCGTCACCAACAATCAATTGTTTTATCGTCAATGCAGATTGGCAGAGGCATGTACCATCTGCAAGATGCACAACTGTACCTCACTAAAACTCCTTTCATAGTGCTTTACAAACACACAGCCTCTGTTAATTAGAAGAAAAAGGGCAGCAGACACAGTGACTCCACTGCCCCACTCCCAAAGCCACTCATTAGGAACATTAGAATTAGGTGCGAGAGCAGGCAGTTCAGCCCTTCGAGCCCCTTCCGCCATTTAATGTGATCATGGTTGATCGTATACTGTTCTTAATTCCATTTTCCAGCCTGCTCCCTAAAGCATGCTATCCCGCTTTTCATCAGAAACACATTTATTCCTTTCTTGAACCTGTTGATTGATTCTGCCTCCACTGCATTGTGGGGCAGTGAGTTCCACAGATTCACAACCTTCAGAGAGAAGTAGTTTCTTCTCATCTCAGTTTTGAACCTTCCTTTTCTCACTTTAAAGCCATGACCTCTTGTTCGAGACTGTCCCACAAGGGGAACACCTGTTCGACATCCACCTTATCAATCCCCTTTAGCATTTTAGATCCTTTCATCCTAGAATCAATCTGGTGAACATCCTCTGAACTGCCTCCAGTGCAACCACATCCTTTCTCAAGTAAGGAGACCAAAACTGGACACAATATTCCAGGTGTGGCCTCACCAGTGCCTTATATAATTGTAACAACACCTCTTTACTTTTATAATCCAGTCCTTTTGCAATAAATTCAAGGATTCCATTTGCCTTTCTTATTATATGTTGCACCTGCATACTCACTTTCTACGATTCATGCACAAGAGGCCCAGATTCCTCTGCATTGATACACTTTGGATCTGCTCCCCATTTAAGTCATAATTTGCCTTTTTATTTTTCCAGCCAAAATTGACAACTTCACACTCAACCATATTAAACTCCATCTGCCAGATTCTGGCCCATTCTCCTATCAATATCCATCTGTAAACTCTTTTTCTTCTCATCACTGCCTGCTTTTCCACCTATTTTAGTATCATTCATAAATTTTGCAATGTTATACTCTGTCCTTGCTTGCAGATCATTTAATGTACATTGTAAATAGTTCAAGTCCAAGAACTGAACCCTGTGACGCCCCACTAGTTACCCTTTGCCATCCAGAGACGGGCCCATTTATTGCAAACCTCTGCTTTCTGTCAGTCAGCTAATCCTGTACCTAAGCCAATATTCTACTCTTAACTCTCTCAAATCTAACTTTCTGGATCAGTCTTTTGTGCAGCACCTTGTCAAATGCCTTCTGGAAGGCATCCTGACCAGGAACTACATCTCCATTCCTTCATTGTCACAGCGTGACATCCTGGAATTCTTTCTAGCAGCCTCATGGGCTGCAGTGGTATAAGAAAGTAACTCAGCACCTCTTTCTCAACAGCAGTTAGAAATGGACTACTACTGCAGTCTTTGTCAGCAATACCCTCATCCTGTGAATTAAAAATTCCAGCTGTTGCCTTTCAAAAAGCAAGAGAAACAAAAAGAAGGCAAATAATTGAGATGTTTCAATTTTCATTCTAGTGATTGCTTAGCAATGGGCTGAGGTTTACCATCTAAGCGTCAATTTCGGGGAGTTTCATGGAGCCTAGCAAGTTCAATTCACAAAGTTCTTCTCTGTTTGCCTTACTATGTAAGCACCAAGTCTCTGGGATAAACTGACCATGGTTAACCATGTTAAGGATAGTATTAAATTGAAAGCAAAAGATATATATTGCAGCAAAGATTATTGTGACCATCGATAAAAGACCAAAAAGTAATAAAGAGCAAGAAAATAAACCATGAGAGCGAACTGGCAAGTTTTTGAAAGAAGAACAAGGCTGACAGTTTAACATTCTAGGATTTAGATGTTTCAGACATTCATAGTTCCTTGAAAATGGAGTCACAAGTAGATAGGATAGTGAAGAAGGTGTTTGGTATGTTTGCCTTTATTGATCAGTGAATTGAGCATAGGAGTCGGGAGGTCATGTTATGGCTGTACAGGACATTGGTTAAGCCATTTTTAGAATATTGTGTGCAATTCTGGTTTCCCTGCTATAGGAAGGATGTTGCGAAACTTGAAAGGATTCAGAAAAGATTTACAAGGATGTTGCCAGGGTTGAAGGGTTTGAGCTATAGGGAGAGGCTGAATAGGCTTGAGCTATTTTCCCTGGAGCATTCAAGGCTGAGGGTGATTTTATCAAGGTTTATAAAATCATGAGGGGCATGGATAGGGTAAATAGACAAAGTCTTTTCCCCAGGGCGGGAGAATCCAAAATTAGAGGGCATAGGTTTAACGTGAGAGGGGAAAGATTTAAAAGGGACCTAAGGAACAACTTTTTCATCCAGAGGGTGGTGCATGTATGGAATGAGCTGCCAGAGGAAGTGGTGGAGGCTGGTACAATTACAACATTAAAAAAGCATCTGGATGGGTGTATGAATAGGAAGAGATTAGAGGAATATGGGCCAAACGCTGGCAATCTTGCTGTTTATCTGAGCTGGTAATGGAGTAGCCAGGAGAACAGCACTATGGGTCTACAATAGGACAGAGATGGATGAAATAGAATTCAGTGCTAAATAAAACCATAGGATGTAGGAGCAGAAGTAGACCATTTAGCCCATAGAGTCTGGTCTGCCAACAATGAGATCACGGCTGATCTGATAATCCTCACCACCACTTTCCAGCTCCTTCCCCATAACCCTTGATTCCCTTACTGATTGAAAATCTGTTTTTCTCAACCTTGAATATACTTAATGACCCAGCCTTAACAGCGCTCTGTGCTAAAGAATTCCACAGATTCACCACCCTCTGGGAGAAAAGAAATCCTTAATTCTGTCTTAAATGGATGATTATGCCCTTTGGTCTGAAACTTCCCAACAAGGGGAAACAACCTTTCTGCATCTACCCTGTCAAGTCCCCTGAGGGTCTTGCATGTTTCAATAAGGGTGTCTCTCATTCTTCTATATTCTAATGGGTACAGGCCCAATCAACTGAACCTTTCCTCATAAGACAGTCCCTTTATACTTGGTACCAGCCTAGTGAACTTTCTCTCGTCTGCCTCCAAAACCAGTTGGCCTTTCCTTAGAGAAGAGACCCAAAAGTATTCCATCTGCAGCCTTGTGTAGTTTTCACAAAACCTCCCTGTTGCCTTAAAACTCTATTCCCTTTGGAAGAAAAGTTAACATTCCATTTGTCTTTCCTATTACCCGATAGTGACTTTTAAAGGGTGTCTTGACAAATACATGAATAGAATGGGAATAGAGGGATACAGTCCCCAGAAGGGCAGGGGGTTTTAGTTGTGATGGCAGCATGTTGGTGCAGGCTTGGAGGGCCAAAGGGCCTGTTCCTGTGCTGTAATTTTCTTTGTTCTTTGATAAATTTGGGAGCAAGCCTTTTTGCGATTCATACATGAGAACTTCCAAATCCCTTGGATTTCTGCAGTCTCGTTCCGTTTAAGTGAATAATATGTTCTTCCTGCCAAAGAGCATAACCTCACATTTTCCTACATA